ATTAGATGGCTATAGGAGGATGGTTTTATATCTGGGTTCTCAGTTCTGTTCCACTGGCCAATGGCTCTGTTTTTGTGCCACTTCCAAGCTGATTTGATTATTACAATCCTGTAATAAAGTTTGAGGTCTGGTAAACTGATACCTCCCATTTTGTTTTTATTGCCTAGAATTGTTTTTGCTATGCAGGGTCTTCTCTGGTTCCATACGAAGCATAAAATTAACTTTTCTACAACTGTGAAGAATGATGTTGGTATTTTAACAGGGATTGCATTGAATCTGTAGATCACTTTGGGTAGTATAGACATTTTAACAACGTTGATTCTACCGACCCACAAGCATGGTATGGTTTTCCACCTGTTTACTTCCTCTGCTATTTCCTTCCTCAATGTTTCATAGTTCTCCCTGTAGAGGTCTTTTACCTCCTTAGTTAAATACATTCGTAGGTACTTTATTTTCTTTGTTGCAACTGTGAAGGGAATTGAATCTTTGATTTGGTTCTCGGTATGACTGTTAATGGCGTATATGAAAGCCTCTGATTTGTGTGTATTGATTTTGTATCCTGAGACTTTACTGAATTCATTTATCAATTCCAGGAGCCTCTTGGTTGAATCCTTGGGGTTTTCTAGATATAATATCATATCATCAGCAAATAGTGAGAGTTTGATCTCTTCTTTTCCCATTTGTATGCCTTTAATTCCACTCTCTTGCCTGATTGCTGTGGTCAGGACTTCCAGCACTATGTTGAATAAAAGTGGAGATAGTGGGCAACCTTGTCTGGTTCCATGCCACCCCGAACGCACCCGATCCCATCTGACCTCAGAAGCTAAGCAGGGTCGGGCCCAGTTAGGATCTTGGATGGTTTGACAACTTTTTAAAGGAACACATGCTATAACGATTTCTGGATCAAAAATGCAGCAAGATAATTAAAAGAACAAAACTGCTGGAAGACCTTAGTTGTAGCACCTGAATATTAGTTAGCTACAGTCTGGCAAATATCTTACCATTGCAGGGTGTTATAGTCTCTATTTAACAGACAAATGATCTCACTTGCCCTAACTATGCCACCAGAATAATACAAAGACCAAAAGGTCCACGTAAAAACACTCAAGTATATTGTTACAAATGTGAAGTGATTCTGTAGACCTGGTTTGAAGTAAAGTCATAAGTAAATCAAACATAACAAAAGATTTTTAAAAACCACC